TTAAAGTTTCCGCGGTGGACGCAAATATTGATGTGGAAACTTTTCTCCCCGTTTGCGGTACGAGGGATGTCAGGTGTTCAATAAATGCTGAATCACTGCAATTTTGCATTTTTAAAGTTCTTAGCCCACTCACCCCACACACCGGACCAGCCTATTTCTCGGACGTTGGAGAAACTCCCCGGGGAAAAAGGAACGGCTGTGTGGTCTCTCTCTCTCTCTCTCTTACTTTTCACCTTTCCCCTCGAACTCTCCAAACCCCCTTGGAAAGCCGATTTATCACCGAATCAAGCGGCCGTTTTCTCCCTTGTCCCACTTAAACTACCTCGCTAATTAAAAAAATAGAGAAGTTACCGACCGCCGCCGCGAGTTCATCCCCTTTTTCATTTCTCTCTCGGCCTGGATACTTTTGCGCTCGGCCCGTTTCGTTCCTCGAGCGTGTTTCCCCGGGCAGCCGCGACCTAAAGCGTTCCACGTAAATCCGGAACGTCGTAACCGCTGCTTGTTCGAGAGAGAGGGAGAGTACGCTTGGACGATAGGGATTCGTTAAACGCTCGTACAGAAAGTTATCCCGCCGTGGCTCTGGGTGCCGCAGAAGGTCGGGATAACAATCGATTATCGTAGCCCCCTCGACAGCCGGAGCAACACTCTGTTGCCAGTGTGCAGGATGATCCTAGAGACGTAGAGAAGCGGTTTACGAGAGGGGGAGGGGGTGGTATGGAGAGGGATGCTGGTAGTACGTAGAAATGCACGCTTAGGCATTAATTTGCATCCTCGGTAATCCTTAATTTACAACTCCGCCAGAGTTTTCCAGAGGGTAGCATCGGCGCGGGGTTCTCCGCGGAATTGGCTCCGGTTGTGTGCACCTCCACCGGTGTACGCGGCGAGCACGTACACATACACAGAGGTATACATACACTTTATCGTCGAGCCAGGAACACGTAGAAACTAGGGGTTTCAGGAATGGTGGGGACAGGGCGAAGTGGTAGGGGAGTCGAGTTGGAGAGAGAGAGAGAGAGGGAGAGAGAAAGGGGGAAGGAAAGTGGGGGATGGTTGGATGTTGAGGAAGGTGCAGGCGGGTGGGCGCTAAGGGGTGGAAGGCGCAAGGGGGATGAAGGAAAAGGGATTCGGCAGACAGCAGGGGCTGTGGCTGGGGTTGGATAGTCCAACTGGCCTCGATGGTGGGGGGAAGGGGGACGCTATGAAATGGCGGAATACGAAAGGGGTAGGGGACAGTAGTCGTGGAAGGACGCAAAGAGAGGGGCGATGGACGGAGGTCGAGAGTCGCGGGTTGGCTCACTCTGCGGCTCCCGCCGCTCGGGAGCAGACACGCGGGGCCAAAGACTAATTCGAACCTATTTTATTAACAAAACATAAACATACATATTTGTAAATAACACTAAATAACACGCAAACGTAATTAACACAACGTCTCCTAAACGTCTCTCTTTACCTACTTCTACAGAAACGAGAATCTCTTAGACCTCTGTAAGAAAAAAAAGAAGAAAGAAAGCTGGAAACAAAGTAATACGAGAAACGAAGAACACGGAAAGCGCGTGAATACGACGAAGTAAAAAAAAGAAAAAGTAAAACCAGTTTCCAGTCCCTTGTAAAGCAATCGTCGAAGCCCGGGAACGCGTTGGAGAAGGACACGAGGATAAAAAGGGAGATTTGAAGGAAGGAAAAGGAGTAGGGAGAGAGGGGAAAGAAAAAGGTCGTCTATTTTCTGAAGTTACCACTGGTTTCTGGAAAGGCCGCGCGTCCGAGAAAGGGAGAACGAGAGAAAGAGAGAAAGATAGAGAAAGAGATAGAGTGTGGCAGAAAGGAAACAAAGGTTGGCGAGATAAGGGAAGACAGCAGGAGGGAACTCGAGGTGGCAAACAAAAAAGGCAGCAAGGATCTAAGAAGTTGTGAAAAAGGGACGATCGTAAAACCGCGTCAGCCACGGGCGAATCTCGTTTTTTAAGTTCTCTCTGTACTCTGTGTGACCCTTACGTTATTTTGTCCCTCGGATAGGGACGGGTTCAGTGTTGTAACTTAGGATATAAGAAGAATAAGAGCTCCGGAACGCACAAAAAGCAAACAAACCAAAAAAATAAAAAATAAAAAAAGACAGACAGGGGAGAGTATCGAGAAAGATCGAATAAACAACGACGAGAGAAAGATAGAGAGAAAGCGTGAGATTCTCTGTGTGTGTGTGCGTGTGTGTGTGTGTGTGTGAATGTGTGTGTGTCACCAGAGAAAAACCTATAGAGAAAGAGAGAAGGTGAAAGAAATTCGAGAAAGGGCCAAGGACTGAATCGCAACGTGGAACGAGATAAAGGAGACCAGAAAAGAACAGTCTATCTAGAGCATTGTTCCGATAAAACCGTGTATAGATTACGATCGGGACGACAGTTTTTTATATACCAGCACGAAGAAGTGCCTGAACGAGTGAACAAGAGAAGCAAAGAGCAAAAAGCAAAGAGACAAAGTCAGAGGTAGAGCTACGATCTTATCAACCGCGGTAACATTTCCACGCGTTCCACCTCCACGTGTGTTGTCCCCGTGTCGCGTCGCGAAACCTCCGTTTGCGTTGCGCCGTGACACTCTCTCTGTCTCTCTCTCTCTCTCTCTCTCTCTCTCTCTCTCTCTCTCTCTCTTGTGGACCCTTTGGAACTTTTTCGTTTTTTCCCCCCCATTTGTTTTTCCCGTCGATCGACACACGAAGTCCAGAAGCGTCTCGACACACACAAAAAAGCTGGCTCGCGTACACGATCCTTCGGGGGATATGCCTTGCCGTTCCAAGGGGAACCACCGTCAGCCACGTGCACGAGCCACACGAAGAGGGCAACGTCAAGGGAGTCGTGTCTCGATTCTGGAACCGGGCGGCAAGCAGCTTTCCTGACATAAAGAGTGCCCCCGTAGCTTGTCACATTCGACGATCACGGACCATTGTCCAGGTCCCACCGTGTCAGCCATACCACCGCCGTCGTCGAAGCACACGAGGAGCCCGGGGATGCCGGCCAGGGCAGCGCAGCAACGCACGCGGTTCGCGTATGTACAGGGACGATGACGATCGGCCACGATCGGTAAGATCCAGGAAGCGGTCGCTCGCACGAGCGCCACGGAAATGGCGGGCTACAATCATTCGAATCCGCAGCGTGTCGTCTATCACACGACCTACCCGACGCCACTCGCACCAAGTGAGTCTCTCGATCTTGCAAGGGACACTTACCCCAAGTGTCACTCGCCGATTTTAATGAGATTCTTGTAGAAGGTAGTCCTCGAAAAAATATTTCACCCGTATTTTTTTTTGTATCGGCAATCGTCGACATCTAGGGGGTAAAAACAACCCTTAAATTTCAGGGTGGAAATTCAGTTAGAACTGTTCGGGGCAGAAAAGAATGTTTGTTCGACCGAGACAAACACGGGTTGCTCGGTAGAATTCCTCTGAGCGGATTATCGACTGTCTGATCGAATCGCTGAGACGGCGTATTTTCTTCTCGTTTTTTTTTTGTTTTGTTACAGACAGTTCAGACAATACGGTTTTTTGACCGAATCGGTAGTAAAGCTGCGTTCATACGATTCCATATCTAACTCTCACGCGTATGCTTGCGTTCTTTGTTTGTACGTGGGAATACTTCTTTCAGCTATTACCGATTCGACAGAATTACAATATACAGTGGATCCTCGATGAGTGATAGAGCTTGGAATTCTCAAGTCAATGATATTTGTTTCATCCCCATATGGCCATTAGTTTATGAATTATTTAATATTCAGTGCCGAAGGGCCTTTGAACATTCATCGTGAAATTACTGTAGTATCGTTTGAACGGCTGTTAGAGGTTGATTTTTCATAAAAGTTCAGAAGTTTGTCCGTTTCTTTAATTCCTCCAAATCTAGATATTCCAGTCCAGTCTTCCGATTGACGATTTATTCTCGATGCTTTATTCACCGTTACCATACGCTTCTTTTGAAATTGAACACAGCACGATCCGATCGGGCCCCGCTCGAAATTAAGATATTACTCATCCTTTATATCTGACAAGCTTCCCCGCAACCGCTGTAAGAGGCGCCCGCGAAAATTCATAATACGCGGAAGGTATTGGCAATAAATTACCACCGTGGAAAGTGCAGCTGTAGCACATCGGTGATATCAATAACGGTTCGCCGGGGCGAAACCCAAGAGTAAGGTGGTGGTAAACTGGCATATTTCAACGGAACGAACCGGCCTGTTTCCTTAATGTCTCGGGGAACGTCAATACGCGTAGGGAAATTTATTTGGATAATTTGCCAGCTCGTGAGTGGAAAATTCCGCGTCCGAATCTACCCCCTCCTGAAGGGAACACACCGTCGCATTTTTCTACCGTTGATGGTTTCCGGTTAATAGCACCCGACCAATTGTACCACGTGACCTAGAAAATTGAATTACTCGATTGGTCTGTTCAGTTCAGTGAAAAATAAGCCCGTTGGCTTCGGGACGGTTCTCTAAAAATAGAAAACTTTTCCTTGGCTCCACTTTTTTTTTTCTCCAACCCCCTCTCTCTCTCTCAAATCAATTACGCATTTGTATTCTTGGTAACGCATACGCGCCGGGCACGTGAAAAATGCATTACCTTCGGGGAGGTATCGTTTTCTTACCAGCTTGCACACAAAGGGGGAATGGGGACCTGCTGCTTGCGTTACGATCGATAAACAAGCTTCGATCCGTGTTGTATATAAACACGTCTAATGATGTGTTATGCAAAACGTCTAAGTTTTCTGTTCGAAATAAATATGCGAGCACGAATTACGGTGACTCGCGTGATACGTCCGGGAATGATCAGATTACGAACCAGAGCACTCGAATGATAGAGCTAACAAAACCCGGCATAAATGAAACCCCTTCCTCGTGGACGGGTGTATCGAGTTGTTCCTCCCCTCTCCCACCACGTCGTGAATATCGGAGGCTGTTTCCACGCGAAACACCACCTCGACCATTCGAGGACGGCGTTTTCATCGCGTCTTTATTGCTCTGTTTAGATGGGGATCCGATAAAACTTCCGGAAAATTTGGAGACCTTGCCGCGAGCCGAACATTTTCCAACCCAAAGGCACCGATGGAACACCAACGAGGTGAGTCAGAAACGACAATTCTACATACCCACGAGAACATCCCGTGGTGTTTATTCCTCTTCAAGGATCAAAGACGAATTACCGCAAGCTGTGTGCAATTCGATACGATTCACACGGTACTATCTAATTGCATTCGATACGATGTGAAATCTGATAAAACGACGCGGCAATTTTCGAACAGCCGTGTCTGTATTAAAGTGTACATTCGAGAGACGAAATTAAAGGGCACTTCGTTGGGTCCAAAATTTGGATGACCGTTCTGCGTCATGGGAAAATCGTGTGTGAAGAAATTGCGCCACGTGACGAGTTGTATTAATGGATAGGAATAATAAAATAAAAAAATAGTGAAAATATGTTCATTTTTAAGTCAATGAACATTATATATAAAAACAAGTGAGTTAAGTTATTAAAATAAGCAAATGATTAAATATTGATTTTTTTCAATTTCTTGTTTCATATTCAAACAATTTTCGCGCAACAATTTAGAAATCTTCATTTACTGGTAAAATATGTGTTTTATTCTGTTTAATTTAATTAATTACATTCTTCCAATTTTTAACTTCGAAATCTATACGTTATAAAAAGGTATAGATACTAAACAATCTGATGTTCATATACTAAATATTTATTACTATTACTATCACCGAAAATTCGATATTAATAGTTACAAAATTTGTTCATTCATTGGCATGTTTACCTAACAAGGTTTAAAGGAAATCGAGATTTAACGGGGCAAGTAGAAAGGGTTCGCCCATAGTCAGACACGCCACGCAGCCAGCCTCGATCCCATCTGCCTCTGCCCTTCTCGAACGACGTATATTACACGTAAAAAATCTATCAAGAAAAATTTCTTTAAACGGTCAGACCTTGTCGAAAGGGGCACGTTTACCGTTTTTGTTAATACGTTCGCGGATAAACTCTTTAACGGAGTTAGCGAAACGGTCGTGTGGCTCTGTGTGCATTTGCACGGCATTCCGGTAGGCGCAACTGTAAAGTAAATAGCGACGTCGCAACGCCGTTGGTGGCTCGTGTACGTAGCGTCGGGTGGTTAGAGAGGATAGATGCTGTCCGTTCGTGTGCAGGCTGGTTCACGGGTGTGTGTGTGTGCAGGGGGTTGCACATACCAGCACGTGGAGCACCCGTGCACCCGTAGGTGTACCGATGTAGTCCACTGCTACTCTGACCCCGGTCGGCCTCCGATCAATAGCTGGAGCCAGGCTAGAGAGCTCAGCCGAGCCGAGTTGAGTTTTCAGTTCCGTCGAGTCGAACCCAATTGCGAGCCTATGCCCGCGACTACTATCGCGATAAGTCCCCTACTTTATCCGGTTTCTCCTTCCCTGTAATTTTTTCTTCTTCTCTCGATCTTCGATTCGTGCACTCCTGGCATCTTCCTATCCTTTTTTTCGTCGAGCCACCCTCCTTGAGTTCTATATATCCGGAAATCGAGGGTAGACCACGGAGAAGTAGCTAGCCGGGACGATCATTTGAGAAAATCGTCGTCAACTCTTCCTCTGGCCCTCTTCAATTTTACCTCCCTCCACTAGAAGATTCTTTGACCATTGTTATAGCCCCTGGGTAATTCGATTCGATCGTAGGGGAATGCGTGGAACCAACGTCGGAGATTCTGTTGTTGTTAGGGGGTTCTTCTACCCCTCTGAGTTTGTTTTTAATTGATCGTCGAGGAGCTGGAAGTAGAAGTGGACTCCCCCTTGTCTCGCTTATCTATTGTAGGCGTAATATGCATCGCTAATGAGGTCAACGCGGGGCTCGAGCCGCTCTGCACATCGTCTTTTTCATCCCCTGCGTGTCCTCCGGGTGTCTGGTCGATTTGAAATTAGTGGGATCATAAATATGAATGGGGAAGGAATCCGTCGTTATCGTTCGGGCTCTAGGGGAAATTTCTTTTCGGCCAAAACCGACGGGAGTATCGCTGTTCGACTTCAGTTTCTTTTTTTCATTTAGCCCGAAGGAGCCGGCCCGGAACTGATGAAAAGCGCGGGGTCGCATCAGTGATTCATACTCGCGAAACTATTCATGGGATGAAGTTCTTCGGGGAAGTTAACCGGACAAGTTTTGCGTCACGGGGGAAGTTTAAGCCCTCCTGTGTAGCAGCCAGTCCAAATCCTTTTTTCACTTTGGTCCAGCGTTGATCTTGTTTTCTCACCTGGTTTTCTTTTCCAACCTTTTACCTTCAACCCTACTCACCTCCCCTTTAGACTCTTGTCCCTTCGCGCTTCTTCAACGTCATTTCTCTCAAGCCTCTCTGACAGCATATGTGAGCACGTCATCAGGCCAGGACTTTCGGTGCCCGTCTCTCATCTTTCACGGTTGGTCATGGAAATTTTTCTTGGAATAAGCAACGAGAGATAAATGGAACATGCAAAACACTCGAAATGCCGCAGTGAATACGACCCGTTCCGCGGTCAGACTCGCGGTAAAACTACCTACTCGAATAAATATATAATTTTCAGCGGAGACTTCGCTCGTTTCTCATACGGACCGTTTGTATGTAGGTTGGAAATTGAAATCCAGTTTACCGAAATCGACGTAAGGGTCTACTATTGTTCCGTTTCCCGTCCGTCGTCGGTCGTATTTATTGACGCGATGCCAAATTCTAAGTCGTTATCGGAGACAGGCCCCGTAATCGAGTCTAAACTTCAAACGAGCACAAAGTTGCCCCGATGTTCGGTTCGCCGAGGCGAATCAATTTTCGTAAGTTGCATTCTTCCCTCGGAAACTTTTCCTATTAACTGTCTTTTTTTTTCGAATAGCCTCGATTATACGGAATCAGAGGGGACAGAATTTATCGACCGGAAAAAAACGAGCGTATGTTGTTTCGGGGTCGCTTTATCGATTTTTTTTTCTCTTTCCTTTGCCATTGGTTATTTTTTGTTCCTCCGATTCGCATCCGAAACCGATCCGTCCGATAACTTTCAAGACTTTTACTTGTCGTGCTTTTCGGCCCGTTCTTATTACCGTCGCCTGATGAAATCCCATTTGTAACGAGACATTTACGTCGAATGTAGATTCCGGGTGGGGAATTATAGTAATAATTTTTGCACATACTCGACCGAGGCACATCATTTGTTTTGCACTTTTAGCATCGGTAATGAGGGCCAAATGACGTTGATTTATTAACTGGTATCCGACTGTAATGGGAAGTAAGTGGCGACGAATCTGGAACACGTAACACTATGTAGATCCTGGTATTTTTGGTAAGAAATTAAATATATGCAGTCAGAGTCCAAAGTAAGCGTACACTTTGAAAGTGTGGGATTTATTCATGTTTATTTCTATCAATTTAGGATCTAATATTTCGTATAGATGGTTTATTACATTGAGATCTGGTGACTGTGGAGGAGTACTTAACTGTTTGACACTGTTTTTCAGAAAAAAATATTTAATCATCTTTGCACTTGCAGCTGAATTTGATTTTAAAATATTTAAATATCCATATTTGTCGATGAATAAAACCCATAATAGTACATTCAACATGACTCACTGTAGATCTCTTCGTAATCGCATACAAAGCTCTCTGAAATCGTCGGTTTTTCTACTCGTTTAGGATCAAGATACATGGAGGGCGAACAGAACCGTACAAAATCCGGATCGTGTTATCATTGCTTTTCAATCCGTTTTTTTTTATGAGATTCTGGATTACAGTTCGATTTTCCAAATTTCACATGTGACACGTGGGCCTCGTCAGTTTTCTCCGATAACATTTCGTTTAATTGATGAGCATACGGTGCCGCCGGCCGGACTATCTGTAAGCGGAAATCGATCCGAAAACAATGTTTCTGTTTGCTTATTGATTTCCGATTGCTCGAGAGTATAAATGCGTTGAATGGGTCGAACAGTTTGCCCGGGCACACAATGACAAGGGGACGGGGGCGCAATTAAACGTTGGTTTGCACTGTCGGTAATGCAATTTCCGGCTGGACCGTTTTTCAAAGTAAATTGTATTCGGACGTAACGCCCGAAATTGATTTCGGTAAATACGACCATTATTGTTATAGAAGTCAATATTTGCATGGCTTCGTCGTCTGCACTAATTTCCAGGCGCCGCCGTTGATTTTCGAGCCTTCCCCCCCCCCTGCACACGCGAGCGCAAATTCAGGAGGACACAGAGGATTGGCTCGTTCCGTTATCCATAAATTTCCACCGTTTTACTGGCTTTACGATGTCTCGCGAAATCGAAGGGAAACCCGACGAAATGTAGGTCTCCGGATGCTATTGGCAAAATAATATCCATTTATTGGTGTATACGACGCGCCACAAAAGGATCGTCCAGGAAAACCGGCTAATTTTTGTGCGGGATGACGGAGGGACCCGGTGTACCGGAACGGTTTCCATGGCTCGCATCGATATGCAATTTTCTCAACGTGCATTTCGGTCCCGAGCGTCGTAACCACTGTATTTTGAATCAAACGATATTCTCCCCTGTTTGGACTGTACACAAAGGGAGTATCTGGTAGTGCTCGTTATTGTTCCCGTATTTATCGAAGATAAAAAGTCTTCTGTAAACGTTGAGGATCATCAGCCTCTGCCAAATGTGTATTTATCAGACCAAGGACAATTAGAAACATCGTTGGTAAGCAACCCTGGTATGATATGAACACTTCTGTCTTTTTCAAATAAGAACTAGAGTAGTAAAAGGTAGGGAAAAATTGCTTTTTCGATATATAAAGTTTGACAAATGAAAGTTAAGTAGTAATTTCGAAACATTTTTAGAACACCTAAAGTTGTATATTTGCAAAAACTAAGAAAAAAACATAGATGTCTGACCACATACGGGCTTATACTACTTGATGCACTGGAATTTCTTATGCTCCTACGGAGTGCTTCCTTATTTCCTATGAACATCAACGAATATTAGTAACTACTTTAGAAGTCAAGGAACACGTTCGGTGATCTATTTATCGTCTGACCATTAACAGGCATATATCCTATTGGTGATGGGGACGCCAAGGAAACTCCTAAATAGGTTTTGACATCGGCTGACAAGAACTTTCAGCTTCATGTCGACATTCTTGTATCGCGTGTTCCCGGCGCTCCTTCCTGTCTGACCATACACAGTCTCATACTACTAGATCCTCAACGTATTCACAGTACACTTTGTGATTCCTAACGATACTCCCTGTAACTTCTAGAATGCTTTATCACCTTCTTATCTTCCTCCGCGTCTGACTATAAACAACTCATTCTACTGTCCATCCATAAATGACTGATTCTACTTCAGAGATTCCGTGTGTGTTCGTTCCATTAATTATTCCAGTCGAAATATAGAGGTGTCTTCTCAAAATTTCGCGGGCCTGTATCGGTAAACAGGAAACATCGAAAGGACGCACCATCCTCGTTCGGGAAGGGGATCGGGGGGGAGGGTGTGTGTCGGAAGGAGGGTCGCGATTTATCGGTCCTTTCGCATTCGTAAATCAAGGGGAACACATCCTTTCCGGTGTACACACACGAGACAGAAAGCGTCTCGTTTACGTATCCGTTGAACCGAATGCAACGAGAATCTATGGGCTTCTCTGTCGTCCTTTGAAGGATCTATACACTCGCCGAAGAGTGTGTGCACACGGGGCTGACCTTCTTCGACGGTTCAACGACGACTTAAAGTCAGTCGATCTCTCAGCGCGCAGGGATCCTCGAATAACCGGCCGCGGGAAAGAAACGAGAACAGGTGGAGCATAAGAAGAAACGAAAGAAAAAGAAAAAAAGGATAGGGAGGGGGCGAGAGAGAGCAACACGAACTTGAATATTATGTACGCAATTAAGTACGAGTCGTATCACGCCAAAAATTTTTCGAGAGTTTCCTACTGGCCTGGCGTTTGCACGGAACCCGACCTTGCACGCAACGTAACGATATGCACTGTCAGACGCCATCTTTCAAGCTAAACTATTCCCCGCGTTGCCTGACCCATTTCATGTCTGGCACGTTACGAAATACGGCCGAACGCAATAGAAAATCAATTTCACGTGGGTACACCATCGCGTGGAGGCGAAATTTCGCCGCGATTCCGGTGCCTCCACCCCTTCGAATTGAATTAAGATACGGAAAGGGAAGCTATTAATACGCTAGACAAATATAATAATTCGTCCCCTTTTGTGCTAACCACGTGTCCCATTATCAAACCGGCACCGATATTCCGTTTCCACTACCCCGACCTTTTCCACCATTGATCAACGAAGTAATTACAGCCGAACGGATGTCGGCTGTTCACGAATTCACGGCGAAAGTCGACGATGGTGGGTGGGGGAGGGGTCAGAAGTTCCAGTTTCCGAGCGGACAGCCGTGGCGGTCGTGTATCCCCGACAGAATGCAAATGATCAATTAACCAGTTGTAAATCAATGCAACATACCATACCTGACTGTCTCTCTGTGTGTGTGTGTATGTCTAGCCTCTCGCTGACTGCTACTTGGCCGAGGTCTAATGGCCGCGGGGAGCCTAAGTTGGGCTCCTTATTCCGTTTCTCTCTCCTCTCCTACCCCTGTTTCCAGCCACTCCACCCATCTCGCTCATTCTCATCCATCCCTCGTTAAGAATATTTATATCCAGGCCACGTTCGCCGGAGTAGAACCTTCGGAGAGACCCTCGCAGGCCCACACCCCCACGGGAACGGTGCAAAGTTATTAAGCACTCTGAACCACATTCCGTTCCTCTCTTTGTCTTTCCAGGTTTCCTCTCTCGGTCTACGATTATCCTACGGAATACGGCAAAGATCATCCCGTAATTTCCACGGAAGTTAGCCTACTACGTTCATCTTATGCTCCTTATCGCGGTGCAATAAATTTTTTGAAAACGTTGCCTGGATCAACGGTAGAGACTGGGATTATATATAAAATTTATTTTCAGCCTCTTTGGCCTTGAGCACTTTGGTTTTACAATTGTTCACTCATCCCTCCACTCTGTTACACATACCCACTCTCATCCACTCACTTTTCTTTTATTTTATTTGACATTCTCTTATAAATACTACGCCCCTGACTTTATTGCTTACTTTTATTTAACTTTCCTATCTATTTCCCTTAATCATCAGATTATCATCCAATTTCTTGTCCTTTTTAACATAGAGACTGGGACTATAATTCGGAGCTTTCATGGGAGGATACAATTTTTATCCTGTTTCAGACTTTCCAAATATCTGAAAATATTCTAGGGTACTTATCATAGTCTCTATCACATTATAAAGTAGGGTTAATGTTAAACTTTTTTAGAACATGGTTTACCCTTACACTAGGAGGGCATCGAGATCTTCCAGGCGTTGAGGTGTGGCATGATCCAGAAAAGGTTGGGAAACACTGTAGTAGAGGAACGTAGTACATACAGACAGGTTCTTTCGTCATCGTTTTCCACGCCCATTTCGTTACGTAATTAGAGACAAGGCCGATCCCACCCCTAAAACGTCCAACACGATTCGTCCTCCTGACGCGACATCACCGCAACCGAGCTCCGATCTTGCCATACCTCATTTGAAATGCACGATTTGTGGGCTCCGCTTGCCAACCCAGGCCATCCTCACAATCAGCGAATCTGTCTGTCCGTGGGAAACGTAGAACGCGAAATTCCACGGCCGCAACCGGCCGTTGTAGCCTTCAATTATCCGTTGGTATCCAGGTTATTCCCGATATTGCGTCCGAAGAAATGTTGTAGAATCTCATTCGCGATTTCGGGGATCCGGTGTCGTCCACGAGGAATCGTTACTACCTGCCCTCCCGCAACCGATTTCACGTGAGAAAGGGGGTAGAGGGTGCGAGACACGCGAAGCGCCCTCGCGCGCTGGCTGAACTTTATATCAACGCCCGAGGGGAATTTTATTGCCACCTTTCCATGGTTAGACGAATCAGCCGCAGTTTGGCGTTCGATTTGCATTTCCCCACGTCAGATCGCGTGCCCGCCCGAGTTTCTGGCTCTCGCGTACTTACTTATTTCACTGAGCCAGATGGGAGGAGGTGGAATGGGGGTGCTGGTTCAATTTTTTGTGCGCCTCGGGGAGGAGAGAGGCTGCTCCGTTTTCTCCTCCCATTTCTTCTGTCGTCGCGCGGTGAAAATTGCGGATAACTATCTCGAATCGTTCTCTCCCCCCGAATTATTTATACGACCAAATTCTTTTCTCCTATTGGTAGGGGGCCCCGCGTGTTCTCCTTCCTTTTTTCTTATTCGTTTGTTTTTTGTTCTGTGTTCTTTCAATTCTTTTCCTCAGCTGTCGAGGAGTTGCATGTCGAGAACGGCTGCGCTCGGTGAACGACGCGTCATGATTAACCACGCGAAATCTGTTCCCTGGGTAATTATATTTTTTGCACCACCCCCGCCCCACCCCCCGTGGTTCTTTGCTTACTTCCTCCGTCTGCACTGTCATGCGTTCCCGTTTCGGAATCGTACCGGCCGGTTCTTCGCGCGGACAATCAATAAAAAGGAACGGGTGTAATAACGGAGTGACTGTTTAATAACATTGTGTAGTAACAGTGGTAAGTAACAGTGGTAGTGGTAATAGTATATTAATAGTGGTAGTTAACTCTGACTTCTTAACAAGGTTTATCACAGTGATAGAACCTGCAATTCTAAATCCAATAATATTTGCTCAGTTGCATATTAGTTTATGAAATATTGAATGTTCAGTGTCGAGGACACTCATCGAGGATTCACTGTAAATAGAAAGACAACGAACGAATATTTCATTCCTTTTCTGACGCGAATTCTAGCTTACGAAATCCGTTTTGCCGATGACAAGAATGGAAAATCTTGCCCTGGAATGGAAAGAGTCAGAGGCAATAAATGATATCCAACGATGATTCGCCTCGGACGAGCTCGCGATTCATATTTCTCGGCGCACTTCTCCCCTCCCACCTGATATTCGGTATTCCAATGGAAAGAATCTCTCAGCGTCGCACGCGAAATGTATGCGAATATTTTGCACGAGTCGTCTGGTATCCTACCTTGGCGCCCCAGCCGTGTTCGTTGGGGGGAGGGCGTGGTGAGAATCGGCGGGAGATTGGAGATGTATCAGCGCGATTTGCAAAAGTAAGCGAAAATCCACGGAAAAGGCAGATGTCAGCGAGGCACGGTGAAGTGTGTTCTATACGAGTTTCTCCCCCGCGATTCCGTGTATCCTACTTCCACCCCGAGGTTCCCTTATCCTCGTCATCAGACGGGGGTGGTTTCCGATTGCACTTTCTAGGCGGGACGCGCACCTTCTGACGTAACTACGAATAGAGTAACGGAAAATCGAATTTTTTTTTATAATTCGTAAGAGGGCCATAGTCATAATGGCACCGACATCGATCGTTAGATTATTTTCGTCAGACGTCGGCTGATTCGATGGACCGATAGCTTGATCACAGCAAAGATAGGGAAATTCATTATTTAGATAAAGAGTTTCGAAGAATAAATAAAAGTTGAAAGAAGTACTTCATCATTTTTTATTGATTGAACGTAGAAATTCTAGTTTTTATGATAAAATTCTTCAAGAATTAAAAGACACTTGAAGAACAATCATTTAATCTTGTATTATTCGAATAAAATTGTGCCCATGCTGGGTCACAGTACTTCCGATTAGTTGGTGAGTTGTTGGCAGAATGAACGTTGCAACATTTCTGTGTTCTGACAGTTCATCTTGTTATTGGTCAAATCAGCCGAGAAAAAAAACAAATAAGATCGGTTCCACTGAGACGATGCACTTACACAGTTGTAACGTTTCCGATTTTCTCGCCAGGAAATCGCCGCCATCCTAATCAGTTTCCAAAGACACGCGGAATGGCAAAGTCGGGAGGTGAAGGTGCGACCACGAAGTGGTTCGATGTTACTGTACTCGAGAAAGAAGGTCCGTTACCGGAGGGACGGTTATTGTTGGAAGAAAAGGAAAGACGGCAAAACCACACGGGAGGATCACATGAAACTGAAGGTAGCTTAGCCTTTCCTTGAATGGGATTGAATATCGCGCAGCTCCGATGGAACACCGAGTGGTCGTTAAGATGTAAGGTTTTCGATCGTGTGTCGCAGGTCCAGGGTGTCGAGTGCATCTACGGCTGTTACGTGCACTCGGCGATCCTGCCGACGTTTCATCGTCGATGCTACTGGCTACTGCAGAATCCCGACGTCGTGCTCGTTCACTACTTAAACGTTCCTTACCCGGACGGTGATGCGAAGCTAGCAGCGCTGCCACCCTGTCTCGCGCTGCCGCCAGACAAGAAAGAGTGGACGCGAGACGAGCTGGCCTCTCAACTCCGACCCATGTTCCTCGGTGGAGATGACGATCCGAACAATCCTCATCTCACACAACACTCGAATCATCCCGTCGATATGATAGTTTCGCAGCTGTTGGATAGACAACGGGCAAACACCAATTCCTCCACCACCAGCACACAGCTCGCGCCTAGGAGACTAACACCGGACAATCAGGTGACAAGAGATCCCATAATCGAACGCCCGTTAGAACTAACGGCCAGGTCCATAGGTGTTGTGACATATTTATCCAATGTGTCAGGTTTCATCGACTACCGGAGGTCAGCAATCATCAACGACAGCCTCACCGGCGCCCCGCGTATACTCGAGACATTACCATACAACCCAGAGCCAACAGCCGGCTCCTCTAGTGTTAAGTTTGCAACAGATTCAAGGCGGCGGCGGTCTGTTGATCCTGAACAGCCAACCGTATCACCACCAACAGCAGCAGCAACAGCAGCAACAACAACAGCAGCAGCAACAACAACAACAGCAGCAACAACAGCAGCAGCAGCAACAGCAGCAGCAACAAAGTCAACAAGTGGAGATGCAACAGGTCACGGAGCAACAAATCGTGCAGCAAGGTAGCGTCGACAGGGAACAACAGATCAAACAAGAGATCGACGCCCAGGAGAGTATGGATCGTACCACGGTCCAAACGTTGCCGATCGGTGGCTCTGGTACCGAGGTCACCGATTTCGCCGAGACCTTGGATCTAAGTCAGGAGGACATTCAGCGAACGTTATCAGCGAACATGGTGCCACCGTCTCCGTCCCCTTCGCCGGCAGACAACAGCATGATCAATCCGATGGACTTCATCGACTCGTCGGACGACGTTCTCGTAAATTTGGACGCGTTCGACGTGTTCGGTGATCTACCAGAGCTGCACGATTTCGAGGCTGAACAGACGAAGGTCGAGGAGAGGGGTGGCTCCGATAACGACGTCGGATGTCATCCTGGAACAACCGTCCATATTGCGGAGTATAGTCCGGAGTGGAGTTACACCGAGGGTGGTGTGAAGGTACGCCTGTTTTATTGATCAGATTAACAAAAAAGGTAACCCATTTATATATTCGATTAGTTTCGAGATTCGAATCAACGATCAAAGAATAGCAAGCATTTTCTACGTTGTTATAGGTATTGGTTGCTGGTCCCTGGACCGGTGGAAGTAATTCTCAATCGTATTCGGTGTTATTCGACGCCGAACCGGTTGAAGCCTACTTGGTACAACCGGGTGTGTTGCGTTGCCGTTGTCCTGCTCACGCTCCGGGGATAGCGTCTCTCCAGGTTGCCTGTGACGGCTTCGTTGTTTCCGACAGCGTTGCTTTCGAATACCGGAGAGCGCCTACAACCGAGCCCAGTCCGGAGAGGGCTCTTCTGGATCGTTTGGCGGACGTGGAGTCGCGTTTACAAGGACCTGGTCCACCGTCTCCCGCAGCTAATCTGGAAGAGCGACTAGTCGCATATTGTCAGGTCAGTATCCGTTCAATTTTCAATCTGCATACGTGTAATTGTGTACATAAACGAAGCATGTAATATGCTTCAGGATGCTATTGTCCGTCCTTGGCGAGCTGGAGCGGAACCGTTACAATCCGGTGGCCCTACTCTGTTGCATTTGGCTGCTGGATTAGGCTTCTCCAGGTTAGCCTGCGTGCTCCTTCATTGGAGAGCGGAAAATCCTAGTAGCGTATTAGATGCTGAAGTTGACGCCTTAAGGCAGGATAACGCCGGTCTTACGCCGCTTGCTTGGGCTTGTGCGGCGGGACACGCGGATACTGCCAGGATACTTTATAGGTTTGTACTGTTTACATACGATTTACAGTAAATCATTGACCAGGCTCCGTGGCACTGAGTGTTCAGACGTCATCTCCATCACTGGGTACTTGACTGGTTCCACGAAGGACTCCTCAGTGGTGTGGATGATTTCTAAACATTCAGTACCAAGGAGCCTTCGAACACTCATCGATGATTTACTGTATCGCAATGAAAAAGTTTTTACGAACTGTCATATCCGTCTGTACAGATGGAACGCGATGGCGCTTCGCGTGCGGGATTGCCAGAACCGAACAGCGACCGAGCTGGCGGCGGAGAACGGTCACACGGCTATCACGGAAGAATTGAATCGGCTCGAAGCGAGAAGGCAAGACGAGAGGCTATTCTTGCGACCCGCCAGCCCTAGTCCTAGGAGGCCATCTCAAGACAGCGGTCTCGATCTGGCGTTGTGTTAGTCTCGTTTGATATTCTACTGCCCTCTTCCGTAATCTACACGCACATTGTTACATTCACGTCCACACGTAATTCACACGTAACTCCCCTCTGTTTTTCCCCGTACAAAACACAACACCCCCACGCGCCATGTATCTAACTGCTCTCCCTCCCTCCCCACCTCCGTAAGAATTTAGAGTATTATATACAAAGGTCGTAAGTCATGCGAGCGTGAACTTTAATCAGGAGACGTAGTATTAAGGGGTTTATCGAAAAACACAGGTGGCTCGCCGCTGTTGGACAACATGGAATTGTTGCAAGAGGATGACTCGTCATTAGCCCTCAGCGAGCAGGGAATGGAGAGCGCTCCGACCCCTCAGGAGACTGTAGGTCCGTACCTTCCTCGTTTCCCCTTCTATTTGTCTGTCTGTCTGCCTGTCTATCTGTAACTATTCGTATAATCTGTTGTGTGTCTTTCTAATATTATACACTTATAGATTCATCGGCCTAGATAAACAGTACTGCGCCTCCGGGCTGTGTGATCCGTAGTATTTCCTAGCTAAAACTGCGTCCTCTCTCTCTCTCTCTCTCTCTCTCTCTCTCTCTCTCTCTCTCTCTCTCTATCTCTTTCTCTCTCTTTCATGCACACACAGACACGCACGCACACATACACGCATCTGAGGACATACATACGCATACAGAGACGCATATACACATTATACATACGATACGTCCACGGTACACGATACACATACGAAAATTCTTTTGTTTTTTGTTTCTCTGTCACTCTGTCTATGCGTACGAGACGACCGGACGGTCCAGGCTCGCTGTCCTCTAACTCCTCTGAACTCTTGCAGCTTAAAAGCAGTTATTGGTGTTGCTTGGCCTACGTAAAAACTGCTGGTGTTGGATGATTGCTGTGTAACGTCTAAAAAAAAAAAAAAACAAAAAACAAAACAAAACACTTTCTTAGCCGTCTATTATCGGCTGCCGACCAGTCCCTCCCGAGAGACAGACGATCCCGGCGTCGAAGCCGAATTCTATGCGGACACCCGTGAATATTGGATACTAACAGACGGAATTTGCGTGTTGACACACGTGATCGGATACCACGGGCTGTGTTCGTTGTCACCTCCGTTAGCGCAGCAGAACCTCCGACGATATCTGAGAATCAAAAAGACAGAGCCTGCCGCTCGCCTGCCCGAACACGATTCGAATTTTCGTATCGTGTAGAGGTCTTGGACTACGTGTCGAGAATATAATCCGCAAACAAAATAGTTCTTGGTGTTATACGTTTTAACGTACGAATATTCATCGTAGAAAATGCGTTCACGGCTTAAACAAACAAACAAACATAAAAAAAAAAAAATAATAAAAACTAAACATACCTCGGTGTTGTGATCTCGATGTGATATTCGCCGGTCCTGTGACAGCTTTTTCGAGTTTGGCTAGGGTGGTGATTCCTTTTTATAGGGGAAGAAGACGCGAGGGTGCTGACATTGGCTGAGCAAATTATAGCAGCGCTGCCGGAAAGGATCAAGAGAGCGGAAGGTGATTCTCCGTCTTCTTCCTCGCCACCTCCACCGGCACCGCCCTTGTCGCCACTGGAGGACGCTCTGATGGAACAAATGGTGAGCTTTCGAACTTCATTCCTAAATAGCTAGACATTCTACAGGGCGTTACATCTAATACATTGTTCTCCACTGATATTAATTTTCATTATCGTGATTTTTACAGCCGCTCGATTCCGGCGAACTGTTCGACTCGTATCGCGAGTGCAGCGGAGGAGCGGCATCGGTTTCGGACGCTGACGCGGACGCTAGTCCTTCGAGTCCGTCTAGCAGCTGTCTGACACCAGATTCTCCGTCCCCACCGCCCACGACAGCCGACTTCTGCGAGTTCTTGCAGTTACAATTGCAGCTAGACGGTAGTAACGGCCGTAACGGCCAGTACTATGGGGCTGGCGGAGACCGGAAGTTCGGCAGCGTAATTGGCTCTGGTATATGCGGGACAGCCGGTGGTAATGGGACCGGTGACGGAAGCGAGGCCGATCTGAGCCGGCTCACGTTGTCCGATTGCGAGCAAAGGGAGCTCTACCATGCCGCCCGAATGATCCAGAAAGCCTACAGAAATTACAAAGGCCGCCAGAGACAGGAGGAGGCCGAAAGACACGCCGCCGTGCTCATCCAGCAATATTACCGTCGACACAAACAGTACGCTTATTATAGGTAATCCGGTTTTCTAGCTTAACGCGACCGTTCTACCTTTACTCCCACAATTCATTTTATCCCACCTGCTCGCAAGACCTTCCAAGTTTTGTTCCCCAGATGAGACACGAAACGGGAATATTCGGGTTATGCGCGAGGATTACGTATCCGCCGCAGAAACTTCTCTAATCGACTGATTCTGGGTAGGAGTGGTTCGGTATCGTTAAATTCTCGTCAGTATTTCGCGAGTTGGTACGTTAGTTTTAATAAGCGGCAATTAATAAAAGGAAGAGGACAGGGCGGTACCATTGCTGGGGGGGAGGTGGGCCAATTTAACGATCCAGTTGAATCGGACGGATTTCACCCGAAGTTCATTCTGTCTACGTCTCACGGGAGGTGGGAGGCGGGGGCAAAGTTTTAATTGGGATCGTAAATAATTCGAAAACTTTCGCGAAGTTCCTTAGCTTGGGCGACGTACCGAATACAAAATTAACCTGGCATTAAATTAATACGACTTCGGTTTAAGATGAAAGCTTAACCCGCCCATCTATCCTTTAAATTGTCCTTACCACACGATCTATATACAGAGAATGTTCACGAAACCTGTTCTTTCTCTCGAAAAAGAGACAATGGCTTTATTTCACGTTGTGTTCTACTTTTCTCCGTTTCGCAGACAAGCTACGAAGGCTGCGCTGGTGATACAAAGTAACTACCGGAATTATCGGTCGCGACCTGGCTCGGCGAGCTCGCGGCAGCAGGCGGTTCATCAACAGGCCGCCCATCAGGCGGCTAGGAAGATCCAGCAATTCATGCGACAGTCAAAAATCAAGTTAGTATCCGGCCGGTGCACCTAATTGCATTTCCTGTTGCAACGGTGTGCACGCATTATTAGTTATGTAGTACTTCTTGTTAGCACACGAAAGGCTTATCGTACGAAAGACATCTTAAAAGTTCTAAAGTCTCCCTCTTCTGTGTGTACTAATGCAGCTTGTCGTGGGACGATTCACGACCGGTAAGTAACGACAAAACAAGTAGGGCGATTGTCGCGCGGCAAACACTGCTCGTTTTATCACTCCCCGTAAATTCTTTCTATCCTACGGGGGATACTATCCGCTGTCTGCAGAAGCATAACAAAAGAAAGTTAAACTCTCGATCGTTTCACAGGGCCGGGGGTGGGAGGAACGCAAAAGAAAAAGAAAAAAGATAAACGAACAGAAACCGTACTCTCTGTGTTTTTTTTAACGGAATGTAATCGGTGCTTTGTGTTTCCCTGTTCTCGATGTTTCTTGACCGTGTTTTACCGGAGTTACCAGTCCAATGCAACTGTTGTCCACGTGTATACGGAGCTTGTCATTAGAAAGACGGGGTTATGAGTTTCCTCGATTGTCACTTTGCTCGATGATAGAATATACGTTTCTTCTGTGTATGTTACAGCGAACACGCAAACTGTTCTGTGTGCTACCGTTTGCTGGTATATTTATGTATATATTAGCTTTTCGCTAGTAAAAGTGTACACACGCTAGATTAATGATACTCTCGCTAGTAAGTATATACATACGTATTTGTACGTTCAGTTCAAAGGATCGATGTTAACGATAAGCCGACACGCAAGTTCGGTCGAGACTTTCATCGAAAAAGCATTGTACATTAATCTACTGTTAGAATTAGAGATACCATTCGAGAAGAGTAGACGTCTAGTATGTGTTAGTTCTAGTCGCTAATCAATCCCTCAATAACCCCACGAACGTCTATACTCCATCCATACGTTTAACGAGTAGCATTTAACCAAACGGATATCCCCCCAGTAAATGTGTACATTTTCCAATATTTCGGTGTGTACACTTTTACCTTGTAACATGTACAGAGGTAACCGTTCCTCGATAGAGACACGGAATCTCTCAAATCTCATTTTAATGATCACTCGAGAGGGGAATCCGTGTAACGTTGTTCCAAGTACAATCGCGGGCCAAGTCGAACGATATTCCTCGAGCAAAGCGATCAATTGCCGGGCGAGAAACATTTTTAGATGCGCTCGTTTGTTCTCGTAGTTGACGTGTTCCTCAGAGTGCTTGGTCATTCAGTGTCATGTATGCACCATTCGACAATCAACCGTTTTACGCGATCGCATAACGGATCTACATGAAACGTGTGTTGGGTTTTCTGGAACTATAGGCTGCAGAACGCCAGGGCCGCCGCAAACGGGAACGGGAGGCCGCCAGCGGGCATTTTACGGGGGGTTGCTGTCCCCCAAAGCTCGCCCTCATCTAGCCCAGGGGCCAGCCTAGTAGCCGTCAACCAAGAGGTCACTTAATCGACCGTCGATCGAACACCGCGCAGAATCCCGATAATTCATCGGAAGCGAAACAATAGAGCCTAGCCCAGAAAAGAGAAAGCAAAAAAGAATCGGCCAGTGGTGGGGGACTGGCTTTACTTGGAAAGGGTTCAATCGACGTATCGGCGTGCACCGAGAGAGGGGAGAGAATTCCACCGATCCTGAAGGAATGGTCGACGTACTGACGCACGGAGGACACGCTTTTTGCTCTCTACAAATCCCCCGATTGAACCATGTACCTGCCATATTTTTGTCTGAAACTGTTTTCCAACATTTTTTTTTTTTTTCATAATCTTTGTCCCACAGTTTCGACTCCAAGGATCGTGCCTCGTACTGATCTACTACCCGCCCCTGTGTCTTCGTTTCGCGATCGACGTACCCTATCGTTCTATCTGCATTTTGTTTGTTTTTTTTTTTTTTTTTACCCAGAATGGTCGACGTTGAGCGGTGCACCAGAGGTAGGTGATCCCTTCGAAGTATCGGGATCGTTCACGATGACACATATACACGTGACGGGGATACCAAAGAAACAGACACCGTGTCTCGCACGTACGGTCGTTGTTTCAGTGATCGATCGTTATACGGTTCACGCATCATCCATACGACCGAGAGTACAAAAGAAGAGGCTATGTTTCTCGTTGCTGAAACGATTTTCGGAACGACTGTTATTACTTGTGTGTTGTTCTTGCATCGATTCGATGGTGCACAGTTTCGACACAGTCTGTATCGATGCCTCGCGAGAGTTAACGAGTCTCCAGTTCCCGGAGAACAAATTTCGTTTCCTCGTGTTTCCGTGTCGGCGAGTCGTTTCGAAATCTAGTGGATACGTTCGTTTTCGTTTCTTTTTCTTCTACCTTCATCATCATGATCGTCGCGAGACAGTATTTTCTAAGGATTAGAACGTCGTTAGTATTTGTTCGTTCATTTTTTTTTATTATTATATCATTTACAATATTTATGTTTCTGTGCGTATTAATCACGGAGTGAGAACGCGTGTTGAGTATTTTTACGTTTTTTTCTTTTCTTTGCGTTACTCGAGTCGAGTTTGCACTCGTTAACGTTAAGTTATTCGACGATTTGGGGCGTAGAGCGTTTTTTCGTCTCACGTTGACCCGTCGAACATGTTTTTCCATATTTAATTTTCACCCACAGTTTCACATTTTTGATATCTGTGTTGTCCCTTTTTCTCCCCCCTCCACCACCCCTCCTAATTTCTTTTCTTTCGCGATCTTAACGATGACGTAAGTGTCGCATGTTTTTTTCGTTTGTACGCGAACCTTTCGGGAGATTCGTATCGACGCAACATATACATAATACATAATTCTATTCGAATTAACGATCTCTTCTCCGCACGATAGTTTCTTCTTCGTCGCTTGTAACGTGAAAGGCAATACATATAAACGATTCAGGTCAGATGAATACGAAAGCACCTTATTTTCGATGAAGTGCCGGTGTGTATCTGGGATCTAGGAAAAAAAGAAGAGAGAGAGTGAGAGAGAGAGAGAGAAAGAGAACGCGTGGACGAGAGTGAGCGTGTGAAGACAAAAGAAAGGCTGCTAGAGGAGAACAAAAAAAAACAGGAAAACAAAAGAGAATTAATAATGGAGAGCCAGGGGAAGAATTTGACGGGAGAGCGAGAAAAAGAGCGGAGAAAAAGCGTAAAAAAAAGATTATTTAAATAACGAAAGAAAAAAAAACAATTTAAAGAGGCCCTCTCCCCGGCTCCATGGGGAGGGAGGGCGCTTCATCCACGGGCTGTGCTTAAAGTCACAGTATAATCAACTTCGTAGCGTTACAATTTTTTAGGATAAGGAATAGTCGATTACATTGTTACAAACTACCTACCGTTTCTCTCTCCAGTAGGGGATTTTTTTAACGAAAGAGGTTCTTTAGATAAAAAAAAAAATAAAAAAACGGAATGAAGGGAAACCGATAGAAGAAAAAAAAATAGAGGTAATTTGTGGAATTTTAAAGCGTAGGCGAGGCGGAATCTAAATGACGTACACACGGGGAGGGGCACAGCCGTGGTACCCGCGTTCCGAATCGATTAAGAGGACAAAAATCTATTGTGATAAATTATAAATGGTGATCCAAGAAAGTATTTCCGCTGAAGATGCCGCAGAACGGGATAAAGTTTAACAAAAACAATGAATGAAAAGAAATTAAACAAATCGCATCCAACGTCTCGACGTTCCAATTGGGGTGACCCGAGTCGTTTGGGGACGGTGAACAGACAGACAGACAGATTTCTCGTTTTCTTTTTCTTCTTTTCAGTGAAACTAAAAGAAAACATACAAACAAACACGCGGAGTCGGGATTAATTCACGTCCTGTCAGATCTGTCGGGAGGATC